TGTCAAGACTGGCACCTGAAACAACGGTGGATAACATAAAAGGTTATCTGGCGACGAAAGTCCCATCAGTCAACTTAAAGCGTGTTAGCATCTTCAAAATGGCTCCTTCCCAAGCTAGGGCAATCTCCTCTTTTAAAATATTAGTTCCGACTGAAAACAGTGATATGTTGTTAAACAAATCACTGTGTCCAGTAGGATCCTTAATTAAGGAATTTATCCCTCGAGATCGTCCCCGTAATACCAAGGCTTGTCGCCTTCAAAAAACTAATTGTTTCTTCAGGCCCACTATCTCTCATTTATCAAAATGTTAGGGGCCTAAATTCGAAAATTCGTTCCACTTTTCTAAATTTAGTGAGCACGGAATTTTTCTATTTGGCCTTTACTGAAACTTGGCTAAAACCCTATCTACATTCGTTGGAACTTTTTCATAATTCTTTCCAAGTGTTTAGAAATGATCGAGTAAATCGCATTAGTGGTGGTGTATTAATTGCCATATCTGCGTCAGTCCCGTCCAATTTAATTGAATTTCCCACTTCTCCTGACGTTGAATTTATCGCTATTCGTGCGAATATGCCTGATAAACATCTATTTATAACCTGCTCCTATATAACCCCAAATTCTGATATCTCCATTTACAGGAAACACGCTGCCCTCATTTGTGAAGTGGCCAAGCGGTCTAGACCCACCGATTTGGTCGTTGCATTGGGTGACTTCAGTTTGCCTCAAGTCACTTGGTGTAACACTGATAATTCTGGCTGTTTGGTTCCTACTTCAACGTCTGATAGGGCTGTTGTGTTCTTTAGTGAATTGTTTGATCATACTTTGGGTCAGTATAATCGTACCCCTAATTGTAATGGTAGACTGCTTGATCTCTGCTTTGCCAATTTTCACGAGATTTACGTAAATCGTTGTCCACCTTTTAGTTTACCTGATGATCCTTATCATCCATCAATATGCATTTCCTTTCATCATATTAATGATGGTTTGTTGAAATGCCTTAATGTGCCAAATCAAACTTTTTTAAATAATTATTATGATTTTCATAAAATCAATATTGTATTACTAAAACATCGTCTTTCAGATCTGACGCTTGATTTCTCAACCGGTAGTATTGAAAGCTTATTGCCATCGTTCTGCAATACATTAAATCTAGCTATTGCTGCATCTGTTCCGATCAAGCATTGTCAACCTCGAAGCAGATGTTCCCCGTGGTTTAATAAGACAATTAAATATCACAAGAATAGAAAAAATTCGCTATTCAAAAAATATTCGAAAAGTGGCTCTGCGCTCGACTATGTCGCTTACTCGGTGGCGAGGCATAGATTTAACTCCCTCAACCATCATTATTACTGCAGATACCTTCAGTTCATTAAATCCTCTCTGTTTGCTAATCCTAAATTCTTCTTTAAATTTGTTAACTCTAAAAGAAAAATTTCCACATATCCCTCTCATGTTTCTTTTAATGGCTCTGGTTCCTCGGATGATTTTGAAATCTCAAATCTATTTGCTGAGTATTTCCGACGAAACTTTTCGATTGCTAATTTTGATTTATCAGCAAACTACCCATATCCTATAACTAACTCGGTTTCAATACCTAACTTGGTTATTTCGGAAGATGATGTTTTCAAAGGGTTGAGTTCTCTAAAATACAGTTGTTCGCCTGGACCTGATGGAATTCCATCATGTGTACTTAAATCTTGCGCTGTCGAGTTGTGTGGTGTGATCTCAAAGATTTTTAACATGTTCTTGTATTCAGGTGTTTTCCCTTCATGTTGGAAGAGTAGTTTCCCTATTCCTATCCACAAGAGTGGAAGTAGACAATTTGTTGAGAACTACAGAGGCATAGCCAAGTTGAGTGTCTTGCCCAAGTTGTTCGAGTCTATTGTGACTCAGCATTTGGCCTTTGCCATTAATTCGTATATTTCTCCGCACCAGCACGGCTTTCGGAAAGGGCGATCTACAGTCACCAACTTGTTAGAGTTTACCTGTCATGTTTTCAAGGCTTTTTCTAGTGGCTCTCGCACAGATGTTATTTACACTGATTTAAGCAAAGCATTTGATATGGTTAACCATAGATTACTTATCTTTAAACTCCAAGCCTCTGGTTTCCCACCCTACTTAGTGAAATGGATAAGCTCTTATCTGCACAATAGATCCTTCAGAGTTTTGTTTAACTCCATTAGCTCGGATGAATTCCCTGTTACGTCTGGCGTACCTCAAGGAAGTCACTTAGGTACCATTTTATTTAGTTTATACATTAACGATCTCCCATCGGTGGTTAATTCCAGCCAGATCTTAATGTATGCTGATGATGTGAAACTGTTTTCTTCCTTCTCTGTTGAATCGCAATCACATCAGCTTCAAGGTGATTTGGATAATTTTGTTGCATGGTGCTCTTTGAATCTCCTGAAACTAAATCTGAGTAAATGTAAGAAGTTTTCATTCTCAAGAAGAAAGTCATTCATTACTCAGTATTTCATAGATTCGATAATCAGTGTAAATTTAATTATGAGCTGTTCAATCCGCTCAGAGTCGTTTGCAAGAACCTAAATGACGTCTACCACTTATTCTCGTTATCGGACTCTTTAAAGTCCATTAAAGCAACATTGCTTAATACGCGCGATTTACCTATGTCGTATTTAAACTAGCTTTTATCCTTAAAAAGTCGTTACGTTTCGAAAGTGAATTATTGTCAATTTATTATCGGTTGCCAGGCTTATGCATGTTTGCGATGGCTTAGGGGTTCATTTGCAATTTGGTCCTGTACCGGTTGTAAGTGTGCTCCTATGCTGATAGTGTACATGCTTTTTTTTCTTTTTTTTTTCTTCTTATTTGTTTTATTATGCTTATACTCAATTTTATTGCTAATTAATATTAGTTTTGCATTAAGAGCATATTGAACCCGACTGTTATTTGTTTAGTTAAGTTTCTAGTATAAGTGGAATAAAATAAAATAAATAAATAAATTTATTTACGAAAGTTCACTCAGTCTATTGGAACAAATATATTTTATGTTTTTACATATTATCTATACTACTTAAAAACTTTTTTTTTAACTATCAGAAAAGAAAATGCTAGCGCAGTAGCTATCTCAAAAAGAAAGGCAACATTTTTCCTTAGAAGACCTCGTTGGACAGATTACAAGTTTGCATACAAAAATAATTTCTGTGATGTTTTTCAAAATGCAGTGAAATAAATAGCAGTTTTTCAACAATTTGATTTAAGCATATGTAAGAAAATTACATTGGACTGTAACCAATTCTTTTATACACACGAAAAGCAAAAAACTAAATTTCAATACTTTATGGTATTAAGTGGCGTGACTGACTTTTTGTATTGCTGTAAAATATACCTCGAAATTTTTATTATGTGTCTATTATAGTGTACAAGTAATGAGCAAGAACTAAAAATTAGATTTGATGCCAATCAAGTTGACGCTTCCTGGTGGAACGTTTTGACGAAATCAACCTGCCCGCATCTTTGGGCGGTGGGTATAAAGATGACGCCAGTTAAAAGTTCATTACAATTTTTTTATTTTCAAGAAAAAGCGAGTATAAAATCGGTTTAAGTCAAACAATCAAAAAAAAAAAAATTTCTCAGTATTTTTCCAGATTTTGTTGTTATGAATCTAAAGTTGAACTTGAAGCCAATCGATCGACAATTGATGGCTTTAGAAGTACAACGAGCTTGAAAAACATAATCTCGCGAAAAACACGATTAAAGTCTTAAATAGTAGCAGTTTTAGGTAATAATCTTGTTCAACAACAAGTTTCCTTTGTTAATGCCAAAAATCTGATGCAACCCATATGGCTCTAATTAATTTGAACAAGTTTGAATAGATTTTTTTTTGGAAACCCTTTACTAATTGCAATGTCGTGTACTTGGATGCGGCAATTGCTAGAAGGAAATTGTAGTAGAAGGTGTTACCGTGCAGGACGGTTGCACATATAATTTTTTAAATAATTTTAATTCCGCAATACGATGGTTACGCTTTATGTTACTAATTCTGTCGTATTGCCGTAATCACAACATAAGTATTTAGCATTAGCCTATAGTCTCTAGACTAACACGTGAACGTCTATATTGAAAACGCATCTGATGGAGCACTTTGCCTGATGGCACGCCAGTTAAATACGCAGCGTTGGTCTTCACCATGCAGAGAGCGCAACAATCTTTCTAATTTAGGAAGTGCCAGTCCAAAATCATTAGTATGAATCCTACTCCTCTATCGTAGTAAGGAGAAACACGTTAAAATTTAAGGTTCGGCGAAACTCCTCGGGGTGCTGTACCGCGTGATACTGTAATCTGTGGTACGTGCCTTTCGATATTTTTGTGAACCAAGAGATAATCACTTTAGGCAACTAATACACGCCTCCACCGTTTAAGGCCATACTTGTACAGCACGGTTTCGACACAATCCTTTACAAAATATAGAAATATTATAACGCGGTTTTGACAGAGCACAATTTCCAAAAATGGAATATATTGTATTTAAGTGATCTTTGTCTTTATCGTTAATAAGAGAAATTTCAATCAACGTTCAGAAAAAAAAAAGATTAGCCCTAAATTTTGATAAAAACATACTTTGTACTCCTCATCATTATTTTTTGAATATATTTTTAATTTTTTTTATTTAATCATAATGTTAAATTCCATTTCATCATCATTTCGGTTAACTTACCGCCAACTAAAGCTAAAACCATTTTTGTCATCACCAATGACGTATACGACATGACGACTTTCTCGCGCGAAGATATCATTGCAATTTGTATAACAGATAATATGCAAAATATGCCCAAAACGCAACAACATAATATCGCAAAGATACCGCTGATGAAAATGGCAGCTAAAAATATTTAAATTATGTTGAAAACAAGAAAAAAAACTTGTTGAAAGAAAATAAACTTACATGATAGGCGGAATTTCGACACATCTGTGCCGCATTTTTCACGATTGTATGCTAACTGTTTGCACACTTTGAACGGCCCGAAATAGCCGCGATCGAAATCGTAACCTCCGCTCGGTGAATCATAGTAGCCCCAATACGGGATCCCAATCGCTACTGATGCCAATGCAAAACACACGAAACCTAGAAAAGTTACGCCGGCAACGTAAAGTGTAGCTTTCGATTTAGCCATCTTTTATAGATCACCATAGTAGCCGGTGGCACGAAGTGTTGCTCATAGAAATACCAAACTCTCGAAATAGTGAAAACTTATAAATACCGAGCACTATTAGAAAGATCTCCTGAAAAAGAGAGCAAATAGAAAAAAAAACCAATTCTTAAATGCGTCAATTTATCTGATATGCTCAGTTATATTGCATAAGACGACCTTATCAACAATGTTACGTTTATCTTATAGTACACAGCTGGCAAAAGCTAATGAAAGAAGTCCTAGTCAATTGAGTAGGAAGTGCTTTTCTTGGCAAGGTTTGTATGACTATATCGTGGTTTTATTTACAATCAATTTTTTTAAGTGTAGGATTATTTACAGTTTCCTTAGTTTGACAACATTCTTAACTTAAACTTTCTTTTCAGTTCAAATGTTCGTTTCCGACTAGCTCATTCTGTTCAAATATTCAGCTTATATAAGAAAGTTATCGTTAATTTCATTTCGTCGGCTTGCAGCTGCATGACGCGACATGAATTTGCACTTGGTTTCTCCTTCTCTCGGAAATTTATATTCTGGGAAAATTTCCATAATAATATCTATATTTTAGTTCAGATGCGAAATGTTTTATTCATTGTCATGTGACCTTATTTTATTGCCGGCAATAGCGACATTTGACGTTAGCTTGGAAGAGGGTAAACTAAAATAGGTCTCTTGCAGCTCAACTTGAATTTCACTCCTCTGTGATATGCTATTGAAGCACAACTAGTAGACGTCTTGGTATTTACATCATTTATGGGACATAAATTTAGTTTTAAAAATCCGTCGTGTGCATGACATATGAAATGCATGCTTAAGTCCGTTGAATCAAGCAACACGGAGAGTAATTTCCAAAGTTTGATCAAACTACCATCCATCTGTTTTTATATTATTAATTGATTATTTCTTAAAGCGTTTACATAAAAATTTATTCACTTCTATTATCATTTTTTGCATTCTTTAAGAAATTTGTTATGCATAGCATGAGACAAAGTTGGAGCTAAAAGAAAGAAAAAAGTGCATATAACTTACTTTGAATATTCGACATTAATTTCTGCTGTTTCATAAAAAAATTTTGAAAACTCAAAAATAGCCAGAAAAAGAAGTGATAAAACCGATAAATTAAACGAGACAAAACATTTTTCATATGTCATATATTTTCTACTCACGGACGAACAATCATAAAAAAATAATATATGATAAAAATTTTGATGTCAAAATTTTTATTGAGAGAGACATATTGATAGGCAGAGATGATCAAATTGATCAAGAACCAATATGATTGTGATATCTTTGAGGTATGTCAACAAATGAACAAATTTAACATATTTTGTGGCGTTTGAAAATAAAAAAAATAGGAAGTATGTAAATGAGAGCTGGTCATCGTTAGTCCTGTACATTTCCGGAATGACCTTATTGTATTCAACATGCAAGGGGAGAGGTATGTTCATTTTGCTAAAACGTTTGCAACATCCAAAAGAAAGTTTCAAAAATCATATAAAATATATATATTCTTGATAAACATAAAACTCTGAATCGATTTAAGCACGTCCCTCTGTCTGCCTCATGTCGGCATCTCTGTCTTTTTCTCCTTTGGTTGGGCCAAATCCATCAAAGCACACTTACAGTGCTCTATAAATATGGAACATATCCGGACAAAAATTTCCACATATACTCTAAATAATGAAATAAATCAGCCACGCCTATCCAATATCTTAGCGTATGAAAACTTGTCTTCTTCGCTTTTTTTTGTCTCTTTCAGGATAAAAATGGTGGGTGCAAAGAATTCAGTTACAGGCGAATATAACTTTCTTACGTGTTTTTACCTTTGATCTACGCAGCTATATGAAGTTTTGATAATCTTTCAGTTTGTTATTAGCAGTAAGTCACAGATATATTTTTATTTTTCTTTTATATATTATTTTTATTTATTTATTCCACTTAAATAAGAAAGTCAACTAAAAATTGTGACACTCGAGTTCAATTGACTCTTAAAGTAAATCTTAAATTAATTAATATTAAGATAAGTACAATAAAACAAATAAGCTATCGCAAACATGCATAAGTTAACAATAATTCATTTTCGACTCATCATGACATTTTAAGGTTAAGAACTATTTTAGGTACGACATAGGTAAATTACGCGCATTAAGCAATATTGCTTTAATGGACGGGTTAAACAGCTCATAATTATATTTACACTGACTAAGCTTAACCAAGGTAAAGTGCCTAGAGAAGCGGATGGGGACGTTAAAGCTTATTTCACCAAGTAGTGCAGGCGAGTCAATAGCACAATTTATTACTTTGATTACGAAGGAAACGCCTAGAACAAATCTAAGTTTTTCGGAAGACGGCAAGGACAACAGCAGCAACCTATTTTCATAGGGGGGAAGAAAGGCAATCGGATCCCAACCCAAATTTCTAAGGGCAAACAGCAAGAATTGCTTTTGAACAGATTCAATTGAATCTACGTAGCACCTATATGAAGGAGACCACACAACAGAGGCATACTCGAGTATGGGTCTAACCAAACACATGTACAGCCTTTTCGTAATGTAAGGATCATCAAGCTCTTTGGACCACCTCTTTATAAAACCAACCGCGGACCTAGCTTTGTTTAACGAGAGCCTAATATGCAAATTAAAACGTACCCTATAATCAAATAGAACGCCTAAATCTGTGAACGATTCGACGTCTACCAACTTGTGCGAATCAATGAAATACTGAGTAATGAATGACTTTCTTCTTGGGAAAAAAAGCTTCTTAAATTTATTTAGTTTTGGTTTCAGAAGATTCAAAGAGCACCATGCAACCAAATTATTCAAGTCACTTTGAAGATGATGTGACTGCGGTTCTAGAGAGAAGGAAGAAAACAGTTTCACATCATCAGCATACATTAAGATCTGACTGGAATTAATCACCGATGCGAGATCATTAATGTATAAACTAAATAAAATGGGACCTAAGTGGCTGCCTTGAGGTACGTCAGACGTCACGTGGAATTCATCCGAGGTGATTAAGTTAAACAGAACCCTGAAGAATCTATTCTGCAGATAAGAACTTATCTCTTTCACTAAATAGAAAGGGAAGCCAGAGGCTTGGAGTTTAAAGGTAAGTAAGTTATGGTTAAACAAATCAAATGCTTTGCTTATATCAGTGTATATTACATCTGTGCGAGAGCCACTAGAAAAAGCCTTGAAAATATGACAAGTAAACTCTAGCAAATTGCTGACCGTAGATCGCCCTTTCCGAAAGCCATGCTGTTATGTTAATGGCAAATGCCAAATGCTGTGTTACAATTCGCTCAAACAGCTTTGGCAAGACACTCAACTTGGCTATGCCCCTGTAGTTCTCAATAAGTTGTCTACTTCCACTTTTGGGAACAGGAAACTTACTCTTCCAACACAAAGGGAAACACCTAAATTCAAAGACCGGTTAAAAATCTTAGAGATAACACCATATAACTCGACAGTACAAGATTAAAGTACACATGATGGAATTCCATCAGGTCCAGGCGCACAACTATATTTTAGAGAGCTCAAGCCTTTAAAAACATCATCTTCAGCAATAACCAAATTAGGAATTGGACAAGCGCTGTGTGTGTTTTTCTCTTTGTGAAAAAATTTTTGCAATTTAATTTCTTTATTGCGTTATATGTTTTTAAAAGTTTTCAAACTTATTAAAATTTATTGAACTTTTTGTGTGTTTATTGCGAAAAGTGTTCATCGCGGATACCGTACGTGTTTTCCTTTAAATACATTAAAAAAAAAAAAAAAAAAAAAAAAAAAAAAAAAAAAAAAAAAAAAAAACACCTGACATTTTATTCAGTAGTTTCCCAAACCTTTTCTAGTGAGTGGTTATTTCACAAATAATAAACAATAGACAACCATAAGACATAATGGCCCCGGGGCCGCCAGATAAAAACTCGAATAGATTTCATCTATTAAGTGATATATCCCCCCAACGAAAAAAAAGTAAAAATTCCGATTTTCCGGTGTTGCCAATTAGCGATATAACCCCTATTGATAAAAAATATATTGTTATTTCTTCAACCGATGCTAGAATAACAATTTCCCAAATTAGCCCTTTTGCTATAAAAAAAGCTCTAGACAGCATTACAACATACTTCGACTCCATCTCGATTCTATGCGATGGGAATTTACTGGTCCTCGCTGGGAACCCGCGCGCAACCGAAAAGCTCATAAAGGCCAAATCTTTAGCTAATCTACGTGCTATTTCAGCTAAACTACATGAGAAACTTAACTCGGTTCGAGGCGTAATTTATGCCCCTTGCTTAAAGCATGTGCCGGAAGATGAAATTGTCCGCGAAATGGGCAATCAAGGAGTGACTGAAGTATATAAATTTACCAAACTGAATGATGACGGAAAAACACGCTCTCCTACAGGAAGGATTATTTTAACTTTTGATCGCTATCGATTACCGCGAACAGTTGATGTGGCGTGGTATAAATGTAAAGTAGAACTATACATCCCAAGTCCTATGAGGTGTAAAAATTGCCAACGCCTGGGTCATACGGCAAAAAGATGCACTAGTGCTGCATCTTGTGCTAACTGTGGTCATCCTCCACATACTGAAAGCTGTACCCGTAGTTTCTGCATAAATTGCAATGATCAACACTCAGCGTTGGACAAACAATGCCCACGTTTTGTACAGATGCGTGAAATACTAAAAATCAAGACAGAAAATTACTGTAGCATGGGCGAAGCGCGACGCACATACCGGGAAAGAAATCCATCTGTAGCCCATGGAATTGGCAAAAGTAATACCTACGCTGCTATTGCCTCGCAAATCGACCCTAATAAGACTTTAACTCCAACTGCTTCTAATGAAAAACTTGTTCCACCATTAACCAAAAATTATATTGCGAAACCAGTTACGTCACCCGCCAAAGATAATATTGAAAAAACCAAAGCAACTGCAAATATTGAAAAAATTAAAACAACAACACATATGCTAAAATCTAATA